TATATTAATTTTTTTTTAAAGGTACAAAGTGATGGACCATGATTGACTTTCAGAAAGGTTACTCATGCTCACATGTGGCTGTCTTAAAGTGTTATTTTCAGTTAGGACTGAGAAATTTTCCCACTTCATAAGATTTCAGAAAGTAGCAGGCTAGTGTTGGCCTCTACACATGCATATTCTGCACAGTGAAGGTCATGCATTTTAGTGTTTTACTCCATTTGGACCTTTAAGCTACGATATACTGAAGTGCAAGTGGGGGGAAGTTTTAAAACTGTCACAGCAATGACAGCAAATCTTAGCGTCATGTCTTCACAGCTCTGTCATGCATACACGGTTTCTGACAGTTTGTTTTTGAGGAAAAAGCAGACAAACATATTCGCTACGTTTCTCTCTCTAAATGCAAATAGTGTAAGTGAAATGTTTTGCGTGCAGCTGAAACAAACTGGCACTAAACATGGAGCTGCTCTGTCATTATTGTCACTCCGGCTGTGTGTCTTGTAAACACGAATTAAACGCTCTGCCTCCTCCTCCCATTACAGGTTATCATCCAGAGTGTCACACGCCAACCATCGAACCGGAAGCTGACAGCGATTCGTGGATATGTCGGCAATGTGTCTTTGCAGTCGCAACCAAGGTCAGACGGCTAATCTCTACGTTTCACATGCTGGGGGGAAAAACATTCAGTGCGTAATATAGGAGAAATCCAGTCAAATATATCAAGCTGTGCTGCGGCTACCCTGTTGTGTGTGGCAGGTAATGGGTTTATTCGAGGTAAAAGCGCACTAATTCTCTCAGTATTGACTTGAGTATTAGATGTTCTACATTATGTCAGTGAAATCATGAACAATCAATAGCTATGAAGCTGAAAAACTACACTGGAGTTGAGAAAAGTACATTTAAAGTCAATCAATCACATGTGCTCCAGTTCTGTAGATATGAGATGAGAAGGCACTCACTTAATTGTCAATCGGTCAATGTCCATATCTCATTGTCCAGACTTCCGCTTCCTCGGACACTATCTCTCACAGCTGACCTACAATAAAATGAAACGAATTGCCTTCTCCCCATCGCATGTGATCCGTCTCCCTCGCTGCTCTGACATGACAGTGATTTCAGAGGTCGCAAACCAATCAGTTCTGTCCTCAAATTGTATTCACAGAGAGGGGGGGCCCTCAAACGGGGGCGCTTTGCCCGGCTCATGCAGTTTATGAAACTTCGGCTACCCTATCAGCTGTCATCCCTGGACTGGGACCCACAGCACCTGACCAATCAGCAGCAGTGTTACTGCTACTGTGCCGGACCTGGAGAGTGAGTGACACTGCAGAGGCCAGTTTTAAGTTTGACTGTACACTTTGTGTATGCTCATAAACTTTTTTCATTCTCCCACAAAGCTTGAACTCAGATATCTCAAAGGCGTATTGTGGGTTATTTATAAAGCGCACGCAGTGCATCTGACGTGTCTCAGTCAGTTGAAACTGGCTTTCTTTGAGTGAAATTCTATGTACCAAAGATCAAGTCAGATATGCAATCAATAAAATAAAAGTACTCCAAGCTATCTTTTAAATGCACACTTTGGCTAGCTCCTATGTAGTACTTATGTAGTACCTCAAGTAGAATAAAGCAAACGCCCAACTGTGAGTCGTGGGACCACAAGACACGTCTTATGAAATGCTGCAGTCATCATTCGGTAGCCATCACTCAATTATGCTGCTGGACACATTCATTCATTCATTTGTGTGTTTAAAGTCTCTCTTGCTGTTTCTTTCTTGTGACTGGGTTGCAGGTGGAACCTGAAGATGTTACAGTGTGGCAGCTGTGGTCAGTGGTTCCACGAGGCCTGCACGCAGTGTCTAACCAAGCCTTTGCTGTATGGGGACAGGTACATTACAGGGTATCGCTGCAGAAAGCTGACAGTATACTCATAATTATGTTGAAATTTTGTGCAGCTAACACATTACAGTATAATGCATTTGTTTATGTGCACTTTTTAAAACTTTCCCGGGAGGGTTATAACTTATTTGTTAGATTTTGTTGGACGTTTGAAGCAGATGTTGATACTTGAGGGTAAAGGTACATCAATTCTGATAATTATATGACTGCAAAAAACTTTTTGGCTTGCTTGATAAAAACAGTAAAGCAATGATGCACATTTTAACAAATAAAAAAGACAAAATCAAAATAAATAACAACTCAATTAAGAACTCAATCAAAATGTTTGAAACTTAAATTAACGATAAGGATATAAATTAAGAAAAACAAAGCAAGACATTTTTAATCCTCTTTGTCTTTCCTTATCTGCTAATAAACAGTCAACATCAATATTAAGGTGGTGTATTAGTCACGATCTATAATTGGATCAAGTAAGTCTGTAATTTCAAGCATAGCTTAGTTTACATTGTTTTTTCGTTATTACTGCTTACCAAATATCATTTACTTTTCGATCCAGCCTCTTTAAGTATGGAATTACCCTGCACAGAAAGTACCTGTGTTCTACTCGGCATACATTTTCTATTGTTGATTATTTTGTTGTTGTTGAATGACACACATGTAGCACAGCTTCTCAGTGGCTCAAAAGGCAATCTCAAATATTCCATATGCTTTATATTTACTTAAAAATATACAAATAGAGAAAAAATCTGCACATTTATGAAACTGGAAGCAAACAGTAAAATTTGTTATTTTAAACAGATCCATAACAAAGTGTGAATCCACTATCAATATTATTAATTAGCTGATTGTCTCAGTTTATTTGAGATAAGCAGATAAACAGAGTCTATTTAAGGCAAACAGATAAAGTTGTCCACATGACAGCTTCACTCATCAGAGAAGCGCCTTAATTAGCTTAAGACTAAATTATTAGTGTGCCTGTTAATGTACTCTGTGACTCGCTCTACAAGGACAACAGCTCATTACATACTGAGAGCAAAGGGACGGTGACAGACACTAAGCAGGCATATCACCTCACAGCTATTAGTTCAGATGTGATGCTGGGTGGATATGCAAGCTGCTGATCACTGTGTGGTTTCATAGGCTGCATCCCATGCGTGTAATAAAATGTGTCCATCCATTAAGTTATTATTGTCATTAACCATCTGTGCTAGCCAACTGGGTTTCACACCCTTCCTGACACTGTGTTACCGCCGAACCTGTCTGAAGAGGAGAGGGAAAAAAAGGAGGGATTAGATTTAGATTGACAGCCGGGGGGAGTGAGGCCGGATTGGTACAACATCTGCTGAGCAGGTGATGGAGGAAGAGTGAAGACTGAGCTCACAGTTGGAATAGTAAGCATGCACCGCTGTCATACCATGTCTGCGCTTCATCTTACCCAGTGACCTTCATGCATATAGAAGGACAGATGCACACAGTGTTGTTGTTGTGTGAGTTCAGTTTCAGGGTCATTCGGGGCAGAATGTTATTATAGTGGAAAAACGATACACCTGTCCCTTTATTTCCAGTTCTGCTTGATTTATATGATAAAATGTCTGGAGAAGACATCTATAGATAGCAAGGAAAGCAAAAATGTGGAAAAACTGTGAAGATTTATGTCCTAGATTGGCGAGAGGACGCAAATGTAGTAGGCAAAGATGGCAAAATATTCAAGAAAAAGCAAGTCATTGGCTCCAAAAAGAAGGGTGTGAGGAATCGAGACAGACAGTTTGACAGCGGACAAGGAGAAGGCAGAAATATATATCCACACTCAGCAGTGACTAGAAATGAGACACAGGTGTGTAAAACTAATAGGGGCAGGGCAGATAATCACCAAGGAGGGAGGGGGATAACAGCAGAAAGTTAAAAAACAAACAAACCAAAAAGCCACATAATGAAACAAATCTTCAAAGTAAAGCAGGAACTAAAGATAAATAACTAGTGCTGAAATGAAACACGAAGAACAGAGATAGGGGGACACAGACGGCAGGGGATCGTGACCTTTGTTACATGACTGAAAATGAAAGAATACAAAGCCCACACGTATCAATCACTTGAAGTTATTAATAAGCGCTCAACAAGACGTAACATAGTTCCCTGGATTAATATATCTAGATACAAAAAGAAATACTGATTCTGCAAATAATAAACAAAAGGATTAGCTATTTTGTAAAAAAATAAATAAATAAATAAAGATGCTTACCTCTTGACAGAGTTGAAAATTCCCCTCCCTTTTAAAAAAAATTTCATGGAGATGTTTTGCAAGCGCACCTTTTTCATCATTCAACAGTTCTAATGTGTCCCTGTGATCCAAAACACAAGGTTCAAGGTTCCTTATTTGTCACATGTATAGTTATACAAGTATAACACACAGTGAAATGTAACCAAATCACTTATGTTTTGGGTGAAGCCCCACCTCTCTGTAATCATAACCCTAAAAAAAAGTTACATGACCTCCTTGCCATAGGTAACTATTACACAAACAAACTCATCAAGAGTAAAAGAAATGATTTTTTAGGAATAACCTGAGATGCTTGTCTGAATTTTTGTTTTTTTCTTCTGTTTTAGGTTTTATCAGTTCCAGTGCTCTGTATGTACAAAGGGACCAGAGACAATCCAAAGACTCCCCATGACTTGGTGATTTTGACATTTTGACTGTAACATATTTACTGACATTTTTACAGCCAATGAATATGAACAGAAACAGAAAATACATTTTAAAGAATTAATTCCACCCATTTTTGGTAATCACGTCTGGTTGACACACAAATTAATATAAATTGTGTCCATTGAAAAGAATATACAAAAAATGACACCAAATATTGATTGTTTATGTCCGTGCTGTTTTTGCATTTTACCTGTGTCTTGTGTAACGGACTCTTACTCTTTTGAAATGCAGGGTGGATTTGGCTCATTTAGTACTCTACCATCTCTCGCTGTGCTGCAAGAGGAAATACTTTGATTTTGACCATGAAATCCTGTCCTTCACCAATGAGAATTGGGACTCGTTGCTGCTAGGCGCGGTATTGATATTTCCCTGTTTCAGGACCATGATGAAATGATGTGAAATGCTGCCAGGCTTTTTTTTTTTCTTACATTTGAGACTTAAAGCCTATTAACCAGCATTAAAGTAAAATTAAAGTTAAAAATGTATGACCTCTATGTAAGCTTAAAGGAGAACACCAAGTTAAAAATTCAGTGTTGATCTAGGACAGCGGTTAGTGACCTTACTTGGCCAATAGACCCCCACAGCCGTATCAGATTAACTGAACTCTCCTCCACTATCACCAAGTGACAATTATTACTGTTTTGAATGGGTTAGCTGCCTTAAGCTAAAGCGTTGAGTAGTTCAGTACTGTATGCAGTACTGTGCAGCTTAACCATTTTAAATGTCCACTGATTATTTTCAGCGAACTATTTCAACAGTTAATACATTGCTTATAAGAAATGAAGCAAACAAACTGTTTACTCAAAAGTTTCTGTAGGTCTGTTTTTAGTACAGTACTCCTCTCGTAAATCTAAATGTCTTTTTTTACTGTATTTCACATGTGAATCCATCTTTGTTTTTCATAGTTTCCTTTGTCTTTGTGCACCAATTATGGATTTTTCAAACATTTTCATTCATTCTTGCAACATGTGTCTAGCAAGAATCGGTTTAATTTGAAAAATAAACTTCTATTGTCATTGGTTAATTTTATAATATTTCCCAGTATTTCATTCACAGATTGATATATTGGCACTTTACAGTGTTTCAGCTCGCTATCTCAGTTCTTTATCCTTTGTTTCAGATACATATTTCAACCATTTTCCAACAGGTTATCCAGTCCTTTTAGATAACTGTTTCAGCTCTTCATCCAGAATATAAACACATGTTGTATTTTAGTTACTCAAAGACAACTTTTACATTTATCCAGTATTTCTAGCTTACCATAGCCACATATTTGCATACAGGGGAATTTAAGATCACAGTCCCTACAATTTATCACATTTAGATGGGCTTTTAAAAAAATATATCATTATTATATGTTCATTTATCCTACTAGGGGACAAATATCCCTCATAAGGAATCACTCATCTCTTATTAACATCTGTGCTAAAGTCATAGCACCATGTAAAAAGTCTAGTTTCCCCCCAGGAGAATAAGCAGGAAGGTAAAGAGTTTCCTGTCTATGTGTCTGAGGTTTTGAGTTCTCCTTTAAGTTGTTCTTAGTATCAAATTTGACATGTACAACAGGGATTTTTAGCCATATAGCCAAAGTAGTTAACAACATTATTGCTGTCAGAAACTGTAAAACAAAGTGATTGTATGCATTAGAGGTTTTCTGTCTGGTGGTCACCTACTGTGTAAACACAGCTTTGATTTTTCATTCCTGTCTGTCCTCCAGCTCTCTGACACGCCAAGGCAAGACCGCTGTCACAATCTCCTCAACGCTCTGAACTCCCACAAGGACAGGTAAGTCATTGCATATGATGAGAAGAATAAACACCAACCACACATGACTGGAGTGATGAGTATCACTTTATGAATACAAGACTTTTCTTAGTGCACTGAAGGTAGTAGCGTTGGACGTGCAGGTTCAAACTGGCGAGGTGTATTGCATACAGAGCAAGTGAACTGTGGCTGCCAGTTAGACCAGATTAAAAGTACAACTTTTTGATACTTGTTTGGTTTAGCTGGACAGGAATCGTTGGTATTAATTATTTAAAAACAGTCTAGCAGTTAATATGAGCAAATTTTCTTTGAATATTTGAAAAAACAGAGAAACCTTGTGGCCAAAAAACAGCAGTTTTCTCCAGGCAGACTCTGCTCTAATTATGTACAAGTTAATTACGCAGTCACTACCTCTGAAATGCTCCTGAGTCTAATTTTTCATCAGGAGAATATGTACATTGTGTTACACAATTTAAAGCTTAATGTTGACATCACAGAGGACTGCTAGAAACACACACACACATGTAAGGTGATGATACAGTTTAAGAACCAGCTGGAGACAGAAGATGTTTTTCCGTGTTTCCCAGGTTTGTCTCTGGAAAGGAGATCAAGAAGAAAAAGTGTCTTTTTGGGCTTCAGGTTCGAGCCCCTCCACCGCTGACGTCCGATTCGTCGCCGCTCATCACCGACCCACCTATCAACATCACGCACCGGAGAAGGTCAGAGTAAGGACACTGTCTCTCATTTTTGGCTCTTATCTCAGTAAGAGCTGTGAGATTCCCACAGGGCATATAGTCATTATGCATGAACAATTAACTTAGGAATCAAAAGACTGCAATTTTCATATAGCAGCACAAGTATCAGCGTCTCAATATTTTCCTAAAAGAGCAGAAAGCTCCCCTGCGTGCTTTCGTGTGATTATCTACCCAAGTGTGTGTGCACATGCATCTGCACGTGTCCTGTAGATTTCATAGACATCATAAATCATTTTTAGTACTTAGCTGGTGCGTATTGAGACTGAATTACAATGGAATCATTTGCAGAGTGGAGCAGTCTTGAAGGGAGGATTTTCATTTCACAAAACCATCGTATGATTTATGAAACACAAATTTAAAATTTATCCGAACAGAATCCAGATATGTATATTAGAGATGTAACACGCATTGTCTTTGCGTACCCAAATTTCTACAAATTCCCTCTGCTCAGACAGCAGGTTTGTTGGTTCAACTAGTTTTGTCAGTTTTCTATAAATGAGCAGCCAGCCACATCAGAAGCATTAAGCAGTGCATCCCTTTTAAGAGATATCGTTTGTTCATCTTATAGAGGGAGCCAGCAGTAAAGAAAGCAGATATTAAAGGATACTGACGGACATTTGAGACATCTGAATGGACATTGTTCTCAGTATTAGGTTTAAAGTACTTACAAAAGACATCAATTGGTTATTTTGTTAAAGCAACATGGGATGTGATTGCTTAGTAGCACCAAGCTGGGGAGGCATGTAAAGGCTGATATATAAGTTGGTGTTTTATATCAGATTTTGAGGAAAGAATGTTCTATGCATAGCTCTATATTTTATATATCTTTACATTTTTCTTATATATTTGAATCCATAATCTGCAAACACTGTAGCTTTTAGCAATTTAGCTTTTTTGATAGTTAACACGATCTGAACTGACTGAATAGGAAGTTTTGTTCAAGATATCTGCTGGGTACACTGAGACCTTCAAAGATTTGTCTTCAGATTTGTCTCCCAATCAGCTCAATATTGAAGGATAATATTTATTAAACCATCCGGATCTTATAAGTGAAGTTGTGCTGCTGATTGACAGGAGGAGATGACCATCTGAGCATCCTTGAACATTGAGCAAAGACTTTTGCTGACATACAACATTTCATTTAGATATCCGTGCACCTCAGAGGACGATATCTAAACAATTACTGGGTCGTGTGAGCCGTGGTCTAATAGCACCATTCACATCAGATATCAGCATTTCTATTGTCTTCAGTAAAAATGATAATGATTTGTGTTCGTGACTTGTATTTGTTGCGTGTATTTTTCTTATACATAATTCATATAATTGTGTTGCATGAGAAAAATACAAAACTGGCCACTTTCACGAGTTAATCCGAGTACAGAAAATAAAGCTCTTATGAGATAAAAAAAAAACACATCAATATTTACTGTAATTCTTTTTTATATGTACCCTTTCTTTTGTGACCCAGACTGAATTGAGCTCTAAAACTAATGTCATGGTTTTCTTTAAATTGGCTTTGGTGAAATTGTCATCTTTTTCTGCAAAGTACTGCAAACAGATTCTTATTGAATTTCAGCTTGCACACCAGAAATATTAAAGTTATATGTGCAGATTGTAATGTTATTTCTCCCCAGAATATAAACCTTTTTATATTAACACTTCATAAGATATCCTCTAAGATATCCTCCTTACAACAGAATGTCAGCTTTATACTCTCTTATAATCCACTGACCAGACTGCCGTGCTATTTGCTAAAAAAAAAAACACACAACGAGAAGGATAAATCTCTTCATTTAATGACTATTCGGTCTTTTCTTTATCATTGCCTTTAGGACAAAAGACACATTTCAATTCCTAAGACTGATAAAGTTCTAATTATAGTATAACGACAAGTATATGCTGGCCAGTCATGGAAGCATGCAGTGGAGATTTTAGCTTTTAGCTTTTGCAGCTTTTATAAACAAGGTCAGTTTTAAGCACAGAGGAAGAAACAGATTGCCAGACAAATGATGTTTAGGCTGGTCTGTATTAACAATCATCTCACTGCTCTTCTGTATCACACTGCAGTAAAAACTAAGTGTTGCACACAGGGACTCTGTCTCTGTGTGTATCCTTGTATACTTATTTATGTGTTTTTTTTGCTCACTTCAGCCCATTGTCGCTACCCTGCCAGAGGAGAGTGGGGGGGCCAGAGTCACGTAAATCAAAGCGTCGCATCATGGAGACACAGGTCAGTGCCTCTGTCTTCAACTCAGGGGAAGGGGGGAGGAGGCCTGGGGCACAAAACCTCTCTGGTATTTTTTCCTTTTTTTCAATTTTTTTTCATGCATCCAGGTAAACAGCTCTCTGCGATCCAAATAACCTGTCAGTCAGAAACTGTGATGAAGGTTCATTTCGCAGTCGAGATCAGTCTGTGTCTTTTTACACCCAGTGCAGCTCAGTGCCTCATATTTTTCTTCTCCCTTTCGCTGTATGTTGGAAGCCTGCTGATGCTTTACAGTCTGCTGTTCGCATAAAGGCTAGCACGTGAGAGATGAAGTGTAGTGTATGTGGCTCAGTTAAAATGTATAATTCAAATCCAATCTTGGCTGCTCATGTATTTCATCAACACCTGCAGTTCAGCGCCACATTTATCTTGATCATCAAATCCAATTCCCAGCGGACTGCACGGAAACAAGGAACATCACATGCGGTGGTTACTATTTTTACACGGCATTCTTACAGTGCTCATTGTACTTTGTCGTCCTACACATCAGTCATCCATGTATGTGCACATACAGTAATCCTGGAACAATACGCTCCGCAGAGCACTCGTTTCCACTCTGGCACATCCAGGCCCCATTGTGCCCCGTTTGATTGATGCTAATCCCCGTCCGTCTTGGAGGAGCTGCTTCCTTGTACTGTGGAAAGTGAGATGGGAAGGAATGCTGATATGCGTATCCTGGGATCACTTCCAAGTGCACTTTGCAGTCAATTACAGTTTGGCCAGGTGGCGCTGGCACCTTGACAGTCCAGCACTGACAGAGCACATCCATTTAAAGGCACAGATGTCGACTAAGGCCACTGAATAATAATCCCATCCTAATAGTAATGCTGGAGAAGGGAATGATAATGGGCTCACTCTGGTGCTATATGTCACAGTCCAGTGATGAGAAATCTTTAGGTGGCATCCTCCGAGATGATGCCTCCAGTGATTGATGGCTCTGATGATCTTCTGATGTTTTTACTTGTCATGGGTCATGAGTCGCCGCAGAGCAGCACTATGAGATGTGCTATGGAATGATGCGTCTAAGGGAGACATCCTACTGCTGTGTCTGATGAGCCTTGATGATGTGGCATCCTGTTATTTATTTGGATTTAAAGATACAGTGATGTAAAGAAAAAAAAAAGAGTTTTTACCCCCTTCCTGGTTTCCTATGTTTTGTATGTTTGTCACACTTAATTGTTTCAGATCATCGAACCAATTTAAATATTAGACAAAGACACCACAAGTCAACACAAAATGCAGTTTCTAAATGATGGTGTTTATCATTAATTACCACAGCAAGTTTTCTAGGTCCTGAGCAGCAAAACAGCCTCCACCGCCATATTTTACTGTGTGATGTTCCTCTTCTGAAATGCTGTGTTACTTTTACGCCAGATATAATGGGACACACACCTTCCATAAGGTGTCTCATCAGTCAACAGGATATTTTCCCAGATGTTTTTTGGCAAATGTGAGACAAGCCTTTATGGTCCTGTTGGTCCGGAGTGGTTTTGGATGCCAGTCTCTTTCTTATTGTTGAATCGTGAACTTTGACCTTAAATGAGACATGTGAAGCCTGGAGTTTTTTTATGCTGTTCTGGGTTCTTTTGTGACCTCCTGGATGAGTCATCGCTGTACTCCTGGTCATTGGTCATTCCTGGGAAGCTTCACCACTGTTCCAAGGTTTGTGTGTTTAATGGCTCTCACTGTGGTTCAGTGGAGTCCCAAAGCCTTAGAAATGGCTCTGTGACCCTTTCCAGACTGATAGATGTCAGTAACTTCTCCGGTGTTTCTTGTGATCGTGGCATGATGTGTCGCTATTTGAAATCTTTTAGCCTGCTTCTACTTTGTGAGACAGGTTCTAGTTAAGTGATTTCTTAATCCAACAGGTCTGCCAGTAATAAGGCCTGAGTGTGTTTAGCGAAACTGAGCTCAGCTTTCTAGTAAATGTTGTTAATCACAGTTAGTTCATGATTTAACCAGAAAGGCAATTACTTTTTTTTACACAGGACCAGGTATGTTTGGATAACCGTTCTCCTTTAATCAAAAGCATTTTGAATTTACTGAGGTTATCTTTGTCTAATATTTAAATCTGTTTGATGATCTGAAACTTTGAAGTGTGACAAAAAACAGGAAATCAGGTCAGGTGCAAGCACTTTTTATTGCACCACTGTATATCTGCCCGTTTTTGTCATCAGGCAGTGCAAGAAAATGAAAATCAACCTCTTCTGTATCTGTAAGAATAGCAAAAAGCCTTCAGGATGGATATCCTCTCAGTTTTAAGATGTGTTCACTCTGGTTTTCAGCATGCTCACCTGTCTCTAGACGTATCTGTCATAAAACAGAACGTTCCCTGTGCAGAAATGACTTAATGCATGAGTGAGCACGGAGGTACGAGTGCTTCATTGACTCCTGTGATCTTGGCATCCAGACACAAGCTGATCTGTGTGTGTCTTCTGTGCCCAGGCATGTCCACCCCCAGTAGCTGCCAACCCTATTGAGCTACTGCCATGTTGCCATGGCTACATGGGTGGGGCCAGCCTGTATAACTCCAGGAAGTCAGAGGAGGAGCTTAACCTGAGGTAAGAGTTGTAACATTTTATTGCTCAGGTGAATTATTCATGAATAAGAGAAGTTTTCTGTTGTACAGTTTTGTTCATGCTCAGGTAAATTATTAATGGATGTAAGAAGAGTTAAAAACTCACTTCACCTGTGTAAAAAGTAGTATCCATACTTTATAATAATACAAATATAATGGCTAGGAGGAGGAGGTGACTCATCTGGTTTCAAAAGGATGTCCATTTTTAGAGAAGCCAATGGGAAAAATAACACTTTGGACCTCTTGTCTGTGTCCGGGAGTGAAAGGGGCAGGAGTCCAGGGAGGGAAGATTTCCACACAGCTTTCTTAAACACCAACAGCTCCTCTTCTCTCCACCACCACTCTGGCTCACGCTCAGTCACAGTGCACAGGGAACGGGTCCAGGGGGAATCTACACACATACAGATAAACAGTTAGTCTCCAGGTTCAGGCGTACTCACAACTTAAACTTTGCAGATTGCAGGACGACTGACGCTGATGGCTCAACGATCCAGCGACGAGTAGCGCAGGTCCGCCATCTTAAGTAGCACTAATTCATAATCAGTGGCAGGTGTGCTGATCATCCCCAGGTGCGTGGGCCAGGGGCGGGAGCCCACACTAAGCTCCGCCCCGGCAGGAGAAAGAGAGAGCGGGAGAGAGCTGACGTCAGCTGGCGAGGTGCGCGGACCATGACAGTTGTTTGTTGACGATGAGGGCTAATCAAGCAAAATTAATTGCTACGCATAATACTTAAGTAGCTGTTAAACTGAATAATGTCAGGCTGAAATAGTAGTCTTAAAATTATAGTAAGTTGAAAAAGGTAAATAAAAGTAGCTTATGATTATAAAAGTGACCAAATCCGGTTTCAGATGAGCTCAGCTGAACTCACTTGAACATGATAAGATTGTTGATGCCATCAAACATGCCTTTGAGGGTGTTGGGTCAGATGAAAAGCACAGGGCCGCACGGATAAAGGTAAAAATGAGAAAATACACGAGGAACTTGTCAAAAACCTTGTTTCCATCATATTCTTTAGGCAGTAGAAATCTCAGTGGCAGAAAAGTAAGTAACCTGAAACAAATAACTCCAAGGCTAGAAATCACAAAAGTGTTGTTGTTTTTTTTCAAAGAGGCTTTAAAATAAATTCTTTTCCTTTTAAACCCAGCTGGATGGAAATTGTGTGTCAACCTGTCTGAATCCCCTTCACAGCTCTCCTCCAAAACGGATGTATGCCCTATACCACACCACCTACAATGGGAACTCAACACTCTCCAGGAGTCTCCATCACTACAACAGGTTTTTCTCATTTATCCTCCTCATATTTAGACTTAAATCTTATATAGTGGCTCACTGCTGACTTTGTCTGGGGTAACTTGTCATACTATAATGTAGTGTATGTATATATGCTTGTATGTTCCCTTTCTAGACGAGTGGACCAATCTTGAACACCTTTGCATAAGCACTGCCTGGGGGCACTGTGAGTGCCAACATATATGTGGTGTATACAAATATTTTAGACAGATCCCCCAATCGTATACATTTGACAGTTGAGCACCGAGTGGCACGTTTGTTGACGTTCAGTGTGCGCACACTACATATTTTATCGGTCAGCACAAATTTTTAATCTTCCCGGTGCAGCTGAGCAGCCCCCCTTATCGATTAAGTTATCAAAATAAACCACTACAAGCACCGCAGGCCTGTGTATGAAACAAAGAGAATATAAATGAAAATCTGCAATTAAGAGATTCATTATGAAGAAGAAGTCATTCTGGTTTTTTCAAGTTAATTATCAATGATTTTCTTGACAGTTATTGTTTCTTGGCCTAACACCAAAGCAAAGACTGGCACGTAGCTCAGAATTATGTAATTTATTCATACATTTTTCTGATTCTGATATTCTGATCTAAAATTACATAAATAACTTAAAAGGAACTAGTTGACCATTCATTATTACAAATGTTTTAATAGTTCTGAGATAAAACACAGTTGTTGTCATCTTGTATCTCTTATAATACAGGTATAAAATATTATAAGTTATTTAAATATTACTTAACTGTAGATTTCTTAATATAATTTTTTGTTGGGTTTTTTGAGCGCAAACCTACAGTAATTGATTAATTAATTAATTAGTTGTTAAATTTTGGCTCTTTTGGAGCAGACAGCAAGGTTATTTTACAGTTTTTAAACTGACCATGAAACTCTTATACTGCACAGAGAATCTGTAGTTAGTGCTAATATTCAATTCATGTCCATAGTTGGTATTTTATATACAAGTTAAAAAAATCTAAATGTTTTTCTCATAAAACCATACTACTGACTACTACAGATCAGGAACTAGAATAAAATATACATAACAGAATAAACTTAATGTAACTTAAAATAATGTCTTTAATACAGTTATCTAAAATATCAAAAACTGACTTGGTCTTTGCCAACCATTTATTTTTTTTACATCTATAATTAACTTCATAATTAACTATTCAGTTGGTAATAACCTCTATTGATGGGGTAAGTGTTTAGATCCTTGGCTGTTACATGGTTGACTATGCAGCTTTGCAAATTGGTTGCTAATTCTCTGTCTGCACAGAGTTTGGTCACAAATATCTAGTAGGATAAAATAACAAAGTAATTTTTATACCCCAAACTTCACAGGTTAACTTGTAATGTAATGTTTGTAATATTGTTTTGCATTAACACTTTCTTTGGCCTATTATTAGTACCATGACTTTGGAACAGAAAAAGGGCGATTGTGACATATTTTCACAAAATTATTATTAAAAAAAAACGCAGCAAGCAAGAGTGATGAGAGCAGTGAGAGCGGCATCGATTCAAGAAGACACAAACCAAAAGTCTACCTAATATTAATATATGGGTTATTTACGAACTTCACTAATACTACATTTAATTTTTTTTTCTTAGATAAAATATGTGAAGGACCGACTGATCTCCATCCAGATGAATCCATCCTCTTTTCCTAACTCCTCCCCTTCTCTTTTCCTAGCATGGAGGACAACTGCAGGTTACCACCAACATACTTCCCATACCCCCTCAATTCCAACAGCAACCATCACCACAACCACCTCCACCAGCACCATCACAACCACCAGCACAACCACCAACATCAACACCAGCTGGGGCAGAAGCAGCTGGAGCCCCTCATTCTACGTGACTTACCTCCTTATCAGGCTGGCATGGGTGCAGGAGGTGGTGTAGGCGGAGGCGGAGGAGGAGGAGGTGGCAGCGGTGGTGGAGGAGGAGGAGGTGGCGGCGGGGCACCGGGAATGGGAATGGGAGGTGGGGACGGAACAGTGGCCAGGAGCTGGGGAGGAGGGGAGGCAGTGAGGATCCTGGCGAGACGAGTCACACCTGACGGGAAGGTGCAGTACCTGGTGGAGTGGGAGAACGTGAGTTTGTACTGAGACAAAGAGCGTAAACTAGAGACACAATGACTGTTTTGCAGTTGTCACAGAACTGCTGTGTATGTAATACGTGGCAGTGTTTAAAGTACAAACAAAACAAAAAGGAAAAAAAATTCTACACGTTGCAAATCCAGGTTGCTCTCATAGCATCACCTCTAATTCTACATCATTATAACCTCACTACTTGTTACTAAATGTCCCTCTTTGCTAGTGTTTCTCTGATATTTGTACTGTTAACTTTGGAATATGCCTTTGCATTTATCATCTTTTACAATGATGAGGGAAAATGTGTAAACCTCCTGATGATTTTATCTGTGTTTGGACCACATTAATATTTGTAATTAAAAGGCCACGCTTAAAAAGAAATATCTGAAATTTCAACATTTAACAGTCAAAAACCCCCAAATATACTTATTTTACTTTGTTCTGGTTCAGTTTTGTGTTGAAACCTAGTTATCACAAATAAAAGAGTGGAGTTAGAGTCACTTTAGACAAAAAGCAGAGAGAAACAGCTGACCTAGATCCATCCTAAGCTCATTAATTTAAATGTTATTGCTGGCATGCTTATTTTAAGATTTTATGGCTCAGTTTTAGGAACCGTTTGTGTTGGGTGTAGCTTCAAATGTAATGAACAAGTGCAAAAGTAACACCTGTCTCTTCTCAACTACACTTAAGTAAGATGGTAACTACCGCTTTTCTGTGGGATGTCCACAGTAAGAAAACAACAAAGCGTATTTCCTAAAATTTGGAACTATTTCTTGGCAAAAAACCTACAATACACCATTTAATTGTTCCTGCCCACTAAATTAGAATAATGCACAATACAGCTTGACTCGATGCACAAAATGACAGGAAATGTGTAAGAGAACAGGTAGAAAAAGTATTGCTGTGATAATAAACAAGAATTTGATGATTTACCAGAAACGAGAATCAAATTTTGCCAAAAAGTGAAAATTGTTTTCCGCTTTGTTAACAGTTTGACCATATTACTACAGGCAGGTCATGAGGACGAGCTCAGCCACTATTTCACACATCTATTTGATTTGGCATGTCTCATAAAATATATAAATGCAGCGTGCTATTTAAACTGGTTCAAGTTGCCAATAGCTGCAGTGCATCTGCAAGCTACTTTGGAACCCTCTTCCAGAGTCAGTGTCATATCCGTTATTATTATTGTGTATACTTTGCTTTGTCTCGCTGCTGCTCCATGCTGCTAAATATAAATGACCATAGACTAAAATACTCTGAACTATACTTTAATATTTAGATAGTATGATGTGATGATGATTCATTAATTTGAAAATATTGTGATTCTGACATCTTTTTATTTTCTGTAAAATGAAAATTGCTTCTTTTTTAAAAGAATTTGGACATCTGAGGACTACAATCACTAAACTGATAGAGCAGGCCCCATAAAGTTTTACTACATTTAATTACAAAACTCTAAAAAAGTTGTGACACTGTGTAAAATGTACATGGAAACAAAATGTAATGATTTTCAAATCTCATAAACCCACAGTTGTTTAAACTGAGACATTTTACTTTTTCATGAATAAAATGGCTCATTTTGAATTTGATGTCGGCAACAAGGGTTAAAAAAGTTGGGATTGGGGCAAAAAAAAGGTTTGAAAAGTAAGTGTTACTAAAAGAAACAGCTTGAGGAACATTTTGCAACTAATTAGGTTTTAAGTGGCAACAGCTCAGTCACATGTTTGGGTATAAAAAGAGCATCTTAGAGAGGAAGAGTTTCTCAGAAGAAACGGGCCAAGTTTTCACCATATATCTATATCTATATAGATATATATATAATTTGAAATCTCACTGAAAATCAATATTGGTTGACCGCGATCTTCAGGCCCTCAGGTGACACTGCATTAAAACAGGCAAGAGTCTGTCATTGAAGTCACAGCCTGGGCTCAGGAAGACTTCCAGTTGAAAACATTTGATATGTTTGCAACTGGTATGAAAAAGAACAGTCAGGACTTTTGGTGAGCTAGAATTCTATATCAAACAAAAATGGGATATTATTCTTCTCCTGGAAGTCCAGCAACTGGCCTCCTCAGTTCTTGTTCTTCACTGTTGTTAAAAGAAGCGACGATGCCTCACAGTCAACATCGTCCCATCTTTTTGGACATATTTTGCTGCCATTAAATTCAAAATAAGCATATATTTTTCTTAAACTAGTAACATTTTCTCAGTTTAAACCAGTATGTGTATTATGCTTTCTATGTTCTGTTGTGAATAAAATATGGGTTTATGAGACTTGCAAATAACTGGATTCTGTTTTTATTTATATTTCACAAAGCTTCCCAAACTTTTTGTACTTTTTACAGCTCACAAACATTTATCAAGTTATTAACAGCATTTGCTACTGATATCCAAGAAATGAGACGTCAAGCTTCCATCAGCTTTCGCTTTTCTAATTGCTCATTCATCAACTCGTGGTTAATGTTCACGTGGAGTTCAGTGAGAAAATGAGCCCAGAATGTTATCAGAGACGAATGGCCCTCTCATCAGTGAGAGGCATTATGACAGCCTGCTGGTGGCTGCTGGCTGTGCATGAAAAAGCAGTAACCTTTTAATGGACACAGTACTACAGACAGGCTTATATTTTGGGCTACGTTGGGGGGAGTTTAATGCCTCACTGACGAGTACGTTATTGAAGGATTTGACTTTGGCTCTATAAACAACAAATTCTCTGGAGGTTTTCATGTTTTTTTTTCATCACAGTATGTTAATAAGAGATTGTATACATGTTATTATGGGGATACTTATTTGTTATGTTAGATTTTGTCACACATAATTTACATTTAGACTACTGTTATGTCTTAGAAATAGGAGCCACAAGAGGGCTTTTGTTTTATAGATAGAATTATATATTCACAATATATTGCTATGATGGAACAACTTTATTTTATTTATTTTGATGTGGTTGCATAGTGCCTATATAGGGTGTGTACCTGCCGATTGGTCTGCTCGACTGGGTCGGCCAATCAGACGGTGAAAAGACACGAATGAGTCCATACTGATACAAGTGAAGGCTCGTTGTTGACAGATCCAACAGTACCTCAAAGGTTTGGGGTTCCCTTAGATAATGCATGAATTTTGAGAAGATTGTGATATTATATAAAATGCAACCGATTGGTAATGTTATCTGTGACAATTAAGGGAATAATCGATCATTAATAATTTATGTTTTATAATAGATAATCTATGTAGAAGTACAGTGGTAAGTTTTCAGTGTCACTCCTATCTTCCAACAACATCTACACAAACTCATAAATCACTTATGATGAGTGATTTCATTCATCCTTAATTGTCATTTACAACATATGTTCAATCTTATGCTGTAGGAAAAACCCCCAACTTGGAGTACTCAAAGTGACCCCCAAACCTTTGTGTACGAGTGCATAGACGGACCAGTTACGCTGCTGAAGAGAGTTTTTTAATCGAACAGGACTGTGATGTTACTGTACATTCCAAACAACAAAACAGTATATAAACACATTTTAGCAAAGCATACATTTAAAGTCATCACAGTGGAATTATTTGAAAGAATTTTCTTTTCTTTTGTCTGTTTATGATGGGACTTAAATGTCATAAAGATCAGCTAAAGGCGCTCCCACTCCAATACTGTTCACAACAGTACAGGTAAATAAGACACTCCATACTAAAACCATAGTTTTCTTCCAGGGACTAACAGTCTATGGTTTAAATCTAAAACAAGGCATTAAGCACGAATGCATCAGCTGAGGCCTGACTGCTCACGTCCCATCTACTTAAATATGTTTATGGAGGTGAAGTGGAGCTGCTGAAAGTTGGATTTTATCTTTGTGCAAACAGGTTACATAAATCTAGAAAACTGTTGTGCGGGTTTCAGAGTTTATATTTTATACAGAGGTTTATTTCAGCAATCTGTTTGATAAAACTTACACAACATGCACATTTGTCAGTTCTATCTTTTAGAGAAAGACTGCGTTACAGGTTTAGTTCAAAATAAAAAGACTAGTACAACATTTATGCAGTTATAATTGATGCAAAATGCTCAGATTTTATTTAAATAGCAACCTCTTTGTTATATTAGCTCCTGTCCAGTAAGACAATATTGCATTGCAATTCTCATCCTCCTCAGTGACTATTTGACTGTAGTTTATTAGGGAGGAGTGTGTTGAACCTTTCTAGGCGATGGTGATGAATGTATTTGTGTGTTTTCTATGGTATGTCTATACCCGTCAAGTGCTTGTTATAGGTTGTACTCTTGGTGGAAATCAACCAGATTAGTTTAAAACAAAACAGGAGGAAATAAAACATCTACATTGAAGAAAAAAAAACCATTTATTTTGGGAGACGTGGTCTTCTTTTTCTGATTAGTAGTCAAGTCCAAGTTCAGTTTTGATGTATTTTTGAAGAAATTACATTTGTACATGTATACTCTGCGTTGATACACCTAATATGTAACATGAAAAATAAAAAAGTTTCACCTCTCTGTTGCACTGTTCTATTAAAAAACTTAAAAATAAGTTGTCCTGTTAGGTGTCGGTCCATCAGAAAGTGGTTCACAAGATAAATGCAAACCAGGATTAATTAATTTGCTGTCATTATTTTCCACTATCAAATTAATGTGTGTTTTACTTTCCTGGTTGAAGGTCAGAGAAGGATAAAAACCCTAATTTTCAAATTTCAAATTAAAAGATCCAGATTAGCTTTTTCAGACTTTTAAATCCTTTAAACATCTTTTGTGAAAGGGAAATAATCAAAATTCATCTTTTTATTTGTCTGACAGATCATCACTGAGATTACAGAGGGTGCTAATGTATGTGGTTCCACGCTATATATGTACTTTTGTCGAACAGCTGCAAAGACGTGCAAGCATCACCAACTGACTGTACCGTGTGAGGTAACCTCTGACAGACCCTTTGAAATGCGTTTGGGTGGTTTGGTTTAGATATCACTCTGGTTTCAACCAATTCAAACCAGTGAACTCTATATGATTTCATACAAAATGTTGTGCTCATTGTCCTCCTTAGTTAATTAGAGGTGATTCAAGCATTCCTGCACTAATGGCAAAGAACAGGAATCATATTAAAACATGAGAGAATTACATTCTTAAGTAAAGAGACAAAGTAGAACCAAAAAACAGAGCTTCACATATATGCAGCTTACAAAAGAAGTGTGAGAAAAATATTTTAAAATAACTTTCACCAGAATCACTGTCAATTAGAGAATTATTTTTTTTTACCATGTTGGTCTTTTTTTAAAGTTTATTTTCCCTGTAAGGTGTTGTTATGCTGTACGGATGGAGTGATAGGGAATACAAATTAGTACCACAACTCAACCCCGAGGTGCAATGCTCAGAGAAATCACAAAAGACCTAAGAGCTACATTACAGACTCTACTGGCCTCTGTTACCATGTTAAATATTAAAGTTCATGACAGCACAGCTTAGGTTTGCAAAGCTTCCTGTGAACAAACCTTTGGACAGATGAGACCAAAGTGAAGGTTTTGGGCCATAATGCACCTCAACGTGACTGAAATGATGTGGTGAGACCTTAAGAGAGTCTAGCATAAACAAATCCCCACAGATCCCAGTGACCTGAAGAAACATTATAAAGACGAGTGGGTCAAAGTGTCTCCACGATGTGAGAGACTGACAGAGTAATGCAGAAAGCGAGTGCTTCAGGTTATTGCTGTTAAAAGCCGTTGTGCAAGCTGCTGAATCATGGGGTGTACTTGTTTTTTTAACAGGACTACACAGGTGTTTTTATATCACTAATTTCATATTGGACCAAAACATATCTGCAGTGGTGTGCGATGTCCAGTCTGGTTTTTACCACCTTAAGATGATTTTTCAATTTTTCAAAAGAACTTTCTGATGTTATAAAACAATAGAAAAATAACTCTCTCTTTAAGAATTAAAATACCATGTTTTTTTCATTAAATGCTCCCCCACTTATGTCTGATTCTGACTCAAAGAAAAACATTTTCCACTAAAGCTTTTCCAAAACATGACAGAATGGTAATATTTTCATAGTGTGACAGTTTACTAGTTATTTGGAGTAAACAACTATGGGCAGAAAATCATCACTTCTCCAAAGTGCTCAAGCTTTTAACTTTCCAAGTCAAGAAGAGGTGGATTGAGGCTGTTATTGAGCTGCTTTGTACCATTGTATTTAGAAATCATGCAATGTCGTGAGAATCCCCCCGAATTAGTCTGATGGGGATGATAAATTGTATTACAGCCAAATGTGTCCTGTAGGAGGGATTAACTACTCCTTTTTTTGGCAGACAATTTACTGTTGCTGCCAACAGGAATGACAGATGTTTATTTTGTGTTCTTGCCAGTTACAATGAGACTTAAGATGAATGGAAGCAACAAATAATGACTCTGAAGAATAATGCCACATATCACTCTAAGTCCTGCGTCATATTTTATTTCTGAGAAGCGGAAGCATTAATGGTTGAAAATCTTACTGTTTTATTTATTTATTTATTTATTTACTGTTACCTTTTATAGCTGCTGGGTTGCACTGACATAAAGCCTCTTGCATTTTAATAAAAATACTTGTGTGTCAGCAGCTCTTTGTTACTCAAAATAGTCAGTGAGTCTGAGGGAAGTAACTTCTTTGTTCCTGTGATTGCCGTCTGAAGGTGTGCTACTTGACATTTTTGGCAGAAGAAATTGTCTACATGCTAAAATTAACAATGAACGATTGAGCTACTTTAGTTTACAGAGGCTGATATCGAGGCTGCTGTACCACTGTACCGTAGCTCATTGAGACACTCGAAGTGAACAGAGCCTTTGTTAATGTCATTAGCAGCACCTGTGCCTTTCCTACTGGGATAAACAGCTGCTGTGGGGGAAAAAAACCTGTTTACTGCGCAGGTGCGTAACACGAAGAATTTAATTGAAACTATTCCATCTAAGAAGGGACCAGAATCCTTCTGTCATCTTTAATAATATGTGATACGTTTCTGTGATCATCTGTTATCGCAGGTCACAGGGGATGTGCTTCTTCTCTTTCACACTAGTTTCCTTTGTTAGCATGGACACTTATTAGTGTTTTGAAGGATGCAACTCATGTAATGTGCTCCTGAAATCCCTATATTTAGTTTTATTTTCATTAATGGCCAAAGCTGCAGCTGCTCGTTTTGACCACAAGATAGCGGCAACGTCTCAACATGTGACCCAGAAGTAGGCGCTGCGCTCTGATGTCTTCAGCGTCCCTCTGAAGCTGTGAAGTCCACAATGATTGAAGCACCTTCAAGCATGCAAATAGGACATGTAAGTGTGCAAAATGTTATCTAATGAAAGCTTGTGCTGAAAACCCTACAGCCGCAGCATTGCTGCTCATCTATTTTAAACTGGTTTTAGAACTATTATAGAATAGAAAGCAGGCATTTTTACATTTATTTTCCACTGTTTAGACTGATTTTTTTTTCGTTTTTATGATGGTGTTATTTTGTGCTCTTGTAATGATAATAATCATTAGTAATTATAATGATTATCGATTTGATTAAATTACTTTTAGACTCACACATTCATCCATTTAGCCAACTACTTATTCAAATTAGGGTGTCTAAGAGGTGGAGCCTAAAATGCACACAATCATAGAAAAATAAATAAATCTGGTCCCTGTTTTCCACTTGTAAACGATCACTTTTTATTGTTTAATTTTTGGATATACAACTTCAACAATAGTCTACACTGAGGCATAGAAATAAAATAAAAAAAATGAAAACATTTAAAAAATAAAATAAAATAAAAATTAATATATAGTTATCTAAGCACCCTGTGTAATATTTTTGGAACTGATTAAAACAACACAACTCATAACTCAAACTTCCATCTATTATTTAAATTGCACAATTACATTCAATAGTTCAACATTCCTATTTTCCCACGTTACACAAATGCAGCATACGCCATCTCAAGGCGCCATTTTGGCTCCACAGCTTCCTATCTTGATGCAGTTCCTCTGTTTGGTCAAGTGTCGAAATCCAGCGTTATTCAATTTTTAAAAGAAAATGAATTAATTTATTTAAAATGTGAAAAGGAAATAGTTGTGTACTCGAGTATAATTCCACTGAAATCTGAAATGTCAGCATTTATGGGAGGTTGGACGTTACCTGCAGTAAGTGTGTTTTCAACAGGTCTGCAGGAGTTTCAAGAGCCAAAACAGGTTTACAGAAAACTACATTAGCTACATTATCACCTCTAACATGATATTGTGTTTTTCTTTATGTATATTTTAAATACATATAAAAAATAATGTAAAATAACCTGTAAGTTTGTACTCATGATAATAAGTAAGCGATTGTTAATCGTATCTATAGGATAGAGAATCAAAGTAGGCAATGTAAAAATCATAAGAAACACACACACAGCAATAATAATGGATTGGATTTATATAGCGCTTTTCAAGGCACCCAAAGCGCTTTACAATGCCACTATTCATTCACTGGTGGAGGCAAGCTACGGTTGTAGCCACAGCTGCCCTGGGGCAGACTGACAGAAGCGAGGCTGCCATATCGCGCCATCGGCCCCTCTGGCCAACACCAGTAGGCGGTAGGGTAAAGTGTCTTGCCCAAGGACACAACGACCAGGACAGAGAGCCCAGGGATCGAACCGGCGACCTTCCGGTTACAGATACGCTTCCCAACCCCTGAGCCACGGTCACCCCAGTAGCCTGAAGCAGTGGCTATAATGAATCAACACTCCTGCAACGTTATTATAATCCTCCTTTTCCACGAGGCGAGCACAAAATGTAAAATGCATAAGCTAAAGATAGGTTATAGATATTGGGAAACGTGCGCGCCCACACTCAGTAACACGCACACACATGCGCGCGTGCGCTCGTCCTCCACCCCCTTCTCCCCCTCTCTCTCTCTCTCTCACTCACTCACACACACTCACTCGTGTTCACCCTCACACCTCAGCAGCAGCGTGCAAATAAACGCACACACATACACACACGCACATGCACACACATGCACACACACACACACGCGCGCGCACACACACACACACACATCTCTGCATCCTGTATTTTTTTATGCATCGGGAACCGGGGCTTTATAAGCGGTCGTGGATTATGATGCCAGTTTTTATAACAGCGGAATATTGGCTTCTTCTTCGACTCCAACTGTGAACAGCAGTAAATCCCGTGCACACGCGCGCGTGTGTGGTTTTTTTTATTTTATTTTAATTTTTCAGAATTTTTTGTAATTTGGTTTCCACGTTACTTCTGAACGCCGAGAAACCGCCGAGCGAGACGCAAAGCCTACGTTCAATGCAGTTGGAACATGTCCTATGTTCCCTTTCAAGGTAAGTCAGAGCTAATATTTTTGATATTTTTGACACCCACTGCATCTTTCTTTTCTGTCCTCCTCCCCCGTTCCTCGCCATCCTCTCTCTCTCTTTCGCTGTCTCTCTCTTTCTGTCCCTCTCTTCCCTCTCTGTCATATGAAATAGGCATATCTAAAAGCACCATAGCCGACAGGTGCATAGAGATAGCCTAGAGTGCCTTGTAGATAGATACCCACACACGCACGCACAAGCACACACGGATCCCGCGCAGCGTCTGTGGTGTGGAGCTGTGCATGCGGTAATTATAGTATCGTAATAAGGTATGCATGTGCACTAGTGTCTTCCCCTGCAAAAGCATTCCTCTGTTTGAGAGCACTCACACTGCGATCATGGCCAAAAACGCTGTAATATTCCACTAATGATCCTGTGGTGTTGTAGAGTGTAAGGAGTTTATAGCGACACGATGCTAGTTGAGTGTGCAGCATCTCTACTGTTTATATATAATGGAGTTTATACTGCTCTTATCATACTTACAGGCTTATTAAAAACATGAATTAGTGTAATGTGCTCATAGAAACTCTTAGGGTTGTATGAAGTACTGGATTGTGGTTTTATTACTTCATTTGCTTCTAATCTCATATACAATTTGCGAGATAGCCCCTTAGGGACTTTTCACTCTGATATTTCATGAAATATGTTTGATATTTTGTTGGTATCCTAAAAAGTCTGTATCTTGCTTTCTGTGTGCAAAAACTTTGGCCAACTAAATATGTAGATGACCAGAATAAGAAGCTACTTCATTGTTCTTGGTCTTTTATTCCCTCATATTCGAGTGTGAGTGGGTGAAAGGCGCTTCAGTGTACGGTAAAGGCAGATTCCCTTGGTATCATTGCACTGCAATTGTGACTAATGCTATATGTGAGCAGGCGTGCTGCAGTGAGCTGCCTCACATCTATCCAGTCGTAACGTTCAATTTGCAGTGTGTCTGTTTTTGTGTGTGTGTGATTAGAGGGTCTAATTTGGGAAAAGCACGGTCCCTTAAGTGTGATAGCTGAAGTCAGACCGGAGTGAAATGTAACGCCCAGCGCAAAGTTTGGAGAAGCCGTGAAGGACTGGGGGTGATTTGTGTGAGTACCTGTGATCAAAGAGGGTAAAACTGTAGCAGTGTGTGTATCTGTGTGAGAGAGACAGCAGTGTGTAGTCAGTGTGTGGGTTCAGGAGAGAGTGGAGGTGTGCTGCATGTGACTGTAAGGGTGAGAGCGAGTGATGGTGCATGTGTGGATGCAAGCACACACTCACCAACCTGTAACCCTTTGTAGGACAGAATGTGTGCCTCTAAAATGGAGACTAATCTCGACCCGAAATACCCAGCTGTCAGCTCCTGGACCTCACTGTGACCCCGAAGTCATCGTCTAAGCTGCGCGTGAAAAGAGAGACCAAATGTAACTGTGGCAGCCAACTTGGTTGATTTTGCTCTTTATTCCCTCAGAGCACAGCAGATAATGGCTAAAATGCCCACCTGTGCAAGTGCAGCTATAGATGTTGGTTGCATAATATTGGTGAGATGCTCTGCCACTGTGTTTTATGTGTGTGTGTGTGTGTGTGTGTGTGTGTGTGTGTGTGTGAGAGAGAGAGAGAGAGAGAGAGAGAGAGAGAGCCCACTCTGGGAGTCATTGCCAGGAAATTGTGAGCACAGCGCTGCACCTACAGAACCTGCCAGCGACGGCACTGAGTACTCTGTCTCTGTGATCGCAGAGACATTTTATTTTCAGCATTGTTTTGTTGGATTTTATGGAGCTAACCTGTGTTTAGTCTTATAAATAACACAGAAAGCCGAATGCTTGAAAAATGAACAAGTTTAAAGGCGTTGTCTTATGCCGTCATTTATAGTGAATATTTAATACATGACTAAAATTTTGTAGTTTAACCGCTTATAGCAAATTGGATAAAAGTTCCCTGTCAGTTAATAGGAAATGTAACACAATTTTTAAAAATCTGTCATTTCTGTAATCATGGATAGAATTTAATAGTGTTTGCAGGTTTCAGCTTTTGAATTATGAAACATATGCTGCCATTCTTTCTTTTATATCGTTGACTGTGTCCAGCAAATGAAGCAGTCTTAAGATGAAATGTTGGAAGTTTCCACATTTTATAGACCAACCAAATAAACTGTCAAATATATGTTGGTTTACCAACTCTGCAGATAAATACTCTATCCCGCTTCCTTGTCTACCTATGGATTAGCAGCTCCATGGTTACTCAAAGAGATTATGTAACACTGAGTGATATTTATTGCTGCACAGTGACTCAACATTCAAAGATAAAATATGTGGCAAGATGGCTGATATTACCGTGACATGGGTTTGAGATGAGATTCAGATCAACATAAGGGGAGAAAGGGGCCTCAACAAGCTTGCAGATGTATCTGAGCCCATACTGACGAACGCGTTCATCTAATGTACCAAGCAAGCCATTTGCAGTCATGCCAAGTACCGGCTCAGATGAACAGGCAGTTAGTGGGAGGCAGGCAGCAGCAGCAGAGATGGACCTTCCTATCTTGGCTAAATCTTTCTCTTCCCTCATTCGCTCTCTTAAACTCACACCTTCTTTCAGTCTATCTCTTTCTCCTTCTTTTTCCCTTTCTCACTTTCTTCCATTGTGGTCGACCCCCCCTCATGCTGATCCACCCACTCACTCTCACACACATCGTTTTCTACCTCCTCGCTGTCTCCTCTCTCTCCTTCTCTTAACCTTCTCCACAATGGATGTATCCCTGAGTGCTGATGGACTCTGTGGAAGCAAGAAGCCATCCACTGAGCCATCCCTGGCCTTGTCGATTTTACAGTAGTTTGATACAGCAGCTCCTGTCAAGCATGACCGTAGTTAAAGAGACAGCACACCACCAATGCACTGCAGCACTCCTGTTCTCTGTCCTTCTCGTTCCCTCTCTTTCTCCCATGTGACATAAGGGACTGTCTTACACCCCTCCACCGCTCAGGCTGTGCCAAGAACCATCATCTGTTAGACTATTACAGTACTGCATGCACGAGATTCATGTAGCTCTGTGCACTAGATGGTCTGTCAAAGGAGACAGCCCTTTCATTTTCCAGTGGTGCGGCGAGTTTATTGAAGATGGATTCATGGTGTCTTTTTCATGTGTTGTGTAAAATTAGCGGCAGGATCAACCAATGATGAATGCACCGCTGAAGTGATTTGTTTTTAATCACATGTGTAGGATTGAATTTTCCATCTGGAGACCTGTTCACAGATCTTTAATGTTCTGATTTTTTTTTTTAATCTGATTTTTTTTTTTGAATCAAAGAATCCCATGTCCAAGTTCAGGGATGTTTTAAATCTGCCGGCCAAATCCCTGCTGAACGTGGCAAGTCAGCACTTTTAAATGTCAAAGCAGACTGTGCCTTCCGCCTTTTCAAGTATCCCTGAAGCTTCTTGGTCAAAGACATGTTATAATGTCTGGATATTGAAAACAAAAACACCAGTCCTGTCATTATTCTTGCCCAAAACTAGAAAGTCAATCAATAATCTTTATTGGTTTATTCACATAATATTTTATGTATTAGGATCCAGTCAATAAGGACATAATGTGTATCATACAAGTTGCTGACAAAGCCTGTTCAGGCATATATTATCTGGGATCCATTTCAATGTCTATAACACTTTGTTGTTCAATCAATAACTGACAACAGCAGCATAAAACACAGACCCCAAAACTAAATATCCATCAAGCACCAAATGAGGGTAGATTTGCCACAATATTGATGCAAGTAGTCATTTTAAAAAAGTAGATCCTGAGATTCTGCGAAGGATGAGGAATTTGATTAAATGATTAAGGATCAATTATTTTGTAAAACCTGTAGAGGTGCTTTTATGTTTGAGCCTTAAGTACCTTTAATAGTTTCAGTACAATTTTGAACTCAAATTTTGTTGCGTTCAGGTTTGAACTGATGCTCTATTGATTTCAGCTCTTGTTCTGACATCCTGTTCCATTTGCAACATAAATATATTATTGGGTACCAGGCCTTTTAGCTTGTGTGTTAAAAAGTTAATTGCGGGTACTGGATTTACACCACAAATTGTGACAATATGTATCCAATAATAATATAACAAGTTGACATACTGATAATTCAAGAATTGATTTGCTATTTTGTAGCAACTGTATCTTTTATCTTCTTTGGAGCCAAATGCATTCAGTGCCACAAAAGTACGGTGCATCATCTGCATATAGTTTGAGCCATTTATAGACTCATACAGGCAAAGAACTATTGCTTAGTCCAGTTGTTATTTTTTTGTGTTCAGCACATCTTCTTTATTTGTTTGCCTATTTGTTGCCCAGCACTGAACTAGCTTTAGTAAAGACTGTCTGGGACCTTATCTTATAAGAGCCTATAGTGCTTTAGTCATTCTTGGGAAAACAACATGAGGCTACTGTAACTGAGTCGCTAGGAGCAGTGACTTTTTAGATTCAGCTGCACTTTGGGTGCATGGGTAATTTAATTCTGCTGCAAAGAACGAGTGGAATGACTCAATGGGTTAGTGCAGGGGGAGAGAATGTCTTGGCTTTTGATTGATCTTGTCAGGATTCAGCAAAAAGGTCAGGATGAGCTGCTTCTTGTCTCTGGAACCAATCAGAAGGCTGCCAATCTGGAATAATGATCTCCCTCTGGATATGGTTGGCTCATAATCTTGCAGGCATGATGTCATCCAACACCAAGGATCCATGTGATTCAGAACTGAGATTTTAGCCAAACACCCTAGGCAGCGTGCAAAGTTACTGTACATATGTCATTAGTATGAGTCATGTTGTGACCAATGGATGGACTAAATTCATGTTATTAGGTGATACTCATTACTTTCTCAGAGAGTGCTGCAACTTTATTTCACATTATATAATTACTGAACTTTGATCATTTCAGCAAGGCTGGTCAGTGAGTTTTTTTTTATCATTGTGTTTGCCTGTTCAAGTATCACTAATTTGAAAGTAAAAGTTTTCAAACTGG